CCAACAAGCAGCATCCATACCACTCTCACCCTATTCTACAGTACTCTTACAGCTTCCCTACCGCACACGACCACAACTAGATATTTATGGTTACGTGACAACTAGAACTTTTGGTGGTCCCGGCGCGAAACGCCAGAGCTCAAATAACCGGATCACTGACGCATTGAAAGTGGCAAACAGACTCGTCGCGGGCCAGAACGTGGGTATTAGGGTACGGGGGTTGATATTTATCATGCTAGAAATTTCGGAACGTCCAAGGCAACGGTGTTCATAGAACGCCGTGCAGACGAGAGCGCAAAGGAATCTTATAGTACAGGTGGTATAGTATACTAGGGTAAAGTAGTGCAGCGTAGTACGGTGACGTGTAGCATGGCACAGTACTGTATAGGTTTTGAGGATGAAAATGTTCTCAATGACCTCACGAAGATACTTCAGGTGCCATTCTGGTGGTCCCTGGAATGTCAGGCACTGTCTGACGAATATGGTCGTAGACCAGTAACGCTTATATGCCTATTCATCGCGTAAATTTTACAACATTTTTATACGTTGGACTTTGATTTGCAGTTCACTTGCATCTATGCCCTAATTATTATGTGTTTTATTAACGTTAAGATTTGTTCATCGGAGGCCTGCGAGTTGATGTAAGCGTTTCACTTTGCATAACAAAAGATTACCTTATATAGGGTAAATATTTGGCAATCAGTTAGAGTTATGGATGGGTTCCTGTAAAAAGAGGTGGTGAGTATCCCTGTAAACGAGAGGACTTGTGAGAGATATGGGATGACAGAACTACCAATGCCGCTCCAGCAAATGGTGCCATCGTAACCCGTAGCAACAGATGGGGAAGGCTCCTCATCTGCACTTTGGGCCACGCCCCCTCACACGCCCCCTTGTTTGCAGGGACAATAACAGCATGACGAGCCCCCAGTCCGTTCTCTACCAGTCGTTGAAGCGGGTAAGCGGCAACATCGGTGAAGAGCAAGTGCAAAATGTGATATTTTAGAGGGAAATTAGCCACCTACTGCACTGTATTAAGACTTTTTCAGACGTACTACTCTGTGCGGACCACTCTTACTTGCGAATTATTACCGTCGAAGAGCAGGGCGTGGATTACAGTCGTTCAGACAATAGGTATTCGCTTGTCAATGCAACGAGCAATACGACCGGAGGAAAGTCGAAGCGACTATAGAGGAAACTTTTTAGCCTGGGTTTTTGGAATGTTTTGGGTTGGTATATTATCGTTATTCATACATGAATGGAGACTAATGTACTTTGCATGTGCGGCACCCGGAGTCTTAGCGATTTTTTACTACTTGTGGGTTGCCCACTGATTCACTTAGCTCACAGCTTGACGTTGAACGGGAGTGTCTATGGACCCAGTGGTGGGGGTGGCGGCGATAGGCAGTGGACACAAAGATAGCCTGCGCATGAAATGACGCAGGCGGCACAGAGGACACTTCGACCTCTCGGTTCTTCGCCTGAAAGGAACTGCCTTTAGCCCTCAGAGTAATATCTGTGGACACTCCTCCAACGATTAGATAAGGAATGCATTTAATGTTTCCGTGTTTTAAAGGCAATTTTGCCGCTGTTTGGCTTGGAAGGGGCATCTCACACCTTCACTAGGTCTTTTTCCTAGTTCTTGTTGACTTACATGCCACACCTTGGCAAGACATGTAGATCTTGTCAGTTGTGAACAAAGCTCCTGCAGTGATCGATGGGAACCAGCAACATGCCCCTATCAAGCCAAACTGTGCAGTAATTTTTTGTTTCCGAAATCTTCGTAGTATTCATCATTTCTGGCAAAAATGCGTGTAGTCTTTATGGAAAGCTATTGTAGTTTTCTACCCGAATCGCCCCATTGGTTAATTCAAAAAGGAAATTACAATGGAATCGAGCAGTATATTAAAACGGCCAACAAGTGAGTTCCAACGCAGTCATTACCCACCTGTGCCCTACAGTCTATATCTCGGCATTTGAGAGGGTGCGTCCGCAGAGTCAGTTGTATCGCTGCAGCGGCGAATGCGTATCCATTTATTAGTATACTTTCTTTTCGGGGCAACTGCCATCCTCGAAGGTCAGCGTTTTCTCGAATCTCTGATACGCGCACTTTGTAATATCAGCTGTATATGCTCCAAATAAGTATGTCCAATATACGCGACCGCCGCCACGCCCACAACTAAGTCTGTGGACACGCCCACTCTAGGTGCCGTGGTATATGCTGTGTACTGGGACTCGGCTCTTCCCAGACTCATGCAGCGATGTAAGCTAAGAATCGATTTTTCGTGTACTGCTATGAACCTCTTTCAGATGGAACAATACAGAAATTAATATTGATTCCTGTCGACGAATCGGGCCGCCTCCAAAAGAGAAACGAGAGAACTGCGGAGCCATAATGAGAGACTTACAAATGCTCAAACTTCTCTTCATCAACGGTTTTATAGAGTAGGTGTCAGAGTTCGAGCTCGGTTCGTCTTGGTGGGGGCATCGAATGCTACTTAGCGACGATCGACGTGGTCACCTTATGGAGACCTGCAATCCTTGTAACTAAAGTGGCTCACTTGGAATCGTTTGCAACCTCACAACATTTTACAGGCCTCATCAAGGTTTGACCTGTAAAATAACATGAAATAGCAAAAGGAACTAGAGGAAGTGAGAAATGGTTTCCCGCAGCCGAAGCGCTGGTTTCGCGATGTCTTGGTCTTCGGGGGGGGGAGCCATTTTTATACTACCATTGCTTCGCCTTAGTTCTGGTTTACCAAATCTCACTCATGCGTAAAAACGTTGTGAAATCTTGTGAATGCTGAAGCAAAGATCGTCTAGCCATCATATTTAAAAAGTGTCTGCTGGAGAAACGGGCTACCTAGATATGGTCGATTCAATCATGGAAAAAGCAAATGCCCCCCCCCGGCCTCCAAACAGTGCCCTAGCTACTCCTCCACCACTCTTCAGTGAATTCCTAGGCTTGGGCTAGTCCTTTCTGGCGACGCGCGCGAAGGTTTAGCTTTGGCATCGCACTCGCATGACTCCCTTCAAATCCCACGGGAATAATCAGTCTGTATGTCACTACTACGTGGCCGACGTTCTGAAGAAGCAGTAGGTTAGCTACTAGATTTGTGCTCATCAGTCGGCAGCCCTGTTCGCCGCCAGAGACGTGGTGTCAGGGTCGAGCCAGAAAGCGGTTCTGCCAGCCAGTTATCCACCAATTGTGGTCGCCTACCAGTTTCTACAGTTGGTGCAGAGTGAGCTGGTGCTCCACCACTCCCAGCCCCCTTGACACTCCCCAGCATCCGCAGCGAAATAGGATGTAGCCGGTGTTGCTGCCGTTGCATAGGAACAGCGAGCTGACGACAGCTCAAGTACCGTTTAGGGTAGTTTCACCTATGTTGTTTGCAGTCCATTTAACCCTGTCCAAACAACAGTGTGCAGTAAACCTCAAGCATGCCGCCTTGGCGGGCCAAGGCTTATAACGCACACACACATTATTGCCTGTTGAGAATCACTTTAATCAAAGAAGACAGTTTTTATCGAAAAAACGCACAGCACTGTTATGTTGTTTAGCATTCTCTTGTCGCAGGTAAAAAAAATCCTTAGTTTATCTTGTTTTTGAGGTTGTAATGGCTTTTTATTACTTCGGACTGTCTTTCCTATCCGTCGACTTGAGCGATGATCGATTCACGGCCTACATGCTTTCGGCCTTCGTTGAATTACCTGGTGAGTATCTGACTGAGCAAAAAGAGACATAGCAATGTAGTTCGCTGGTGAAGAGGGCGGGAAGAGTTTACGGCACGGCGCCAGCACATTTTCCACCGTGCCAGACCCATCGCTTCTGATACGCCGCATCATCCGCATGGAATAAGACTGACACCACGACTCTATGGCTCACAGTATGTTATGAAAGGGGAATAATCATTATCTACCCACATGCAGAAAGGATCTTGTTGAAAATGTTGTTGTTTCAAGGTCATTTTATTCACCTCTTTCCTACTTCCAGGCGGTCTGATGGTTTTGCCTCTGATGTTTTATGCAGGCAGACGGCACTTGTGCCTGTTCTCTATGGTTCTGCAGGGTCTCTTCGTCACTGTGGCTCCATTTCTCAAAAGTGAGACATTTCTTATCTCTAGCCACTGTGTAGGATCAGTGAGCTGGAAGTTTTGGCTACTTCACGAAGTCCCAAAGTAGCGATGCGAGCAGAGCTAGCCATGCACCAACATGCTTCACATCAGTTTGCAACCTCAAATCTGTAAACGCCCCTTTTTGCTCTCAGATAAGGATTGCTAAGGACACTTACCACCTACACAACGGTCCTCAGTACGAAAAAAATAACAGTCTCTTTCAGACTCGCACTGGTCAATGGTTGGCTCGTTCCTGTTCGGGAAGCTCATAAACAGGTTGTCGCAATCAAAAATTTTTGCTTGATTCAAAGGAATACCAGAAAACAGCTTTCCGAAATTTGAAAATAAGTGATTGGTGTTCTCCGAATGCATCTCCCCTTAGGTCCAAGCCCTGCGGAGAGGGTCATAGATTCCATCTTCATTCCGCAAGAGCGGAAGACCGGCCCTCAATCTGGTTAGCAACAAAGCTGGTTTCTGTGACCTACAAGAATAGCTTGGAAACCTTTTGGACAAAGCACAGTAATAC